TAAAGCTGAGGGCTTTCGAAATCTGGTAGCTAAAAACGGAGGGCGGCTCTAGTCAAAACAAGTAATGTATTCTGGTAGGGTTACAACTTTTTATGATGTTTTATTTATCACCATGCAGTAACAAGAGTCTTAAGTCTCGTACAAAATGTTGTAGGGTGAGATGATTAACCTATGAGATTAGTTAATAGGTCCGGACAATTATGGATATAAAAAAAAAATTTGAATTAAGTTCTAGGCTAGTTATTGTGTTGCTCTGTCTATATAACAGATTCCGAGGGTAGGAATCTAGCTATAACATCAATTTCAAAAAGAAAAAAGTATATGTATGACCAACTTAATCTTTTATTTTTCGATGGAAAATTGATTACAAAACTCTTCATCTTTTGATGGTTTTAATTTCTTAGTGTTTTGCTTTATTCTCTAAATTACTAAGACATGTTAGTGTGAATTTTGGATTTTCATTTAATAGAAGTGGACATATTATAAACGATTAAATTTTTCCTAATTCATAAACTTAAGTTTTTTTGATTCATGGATGATCTAATCATGTTTAAGATAGTATCAATTGTATTCAAACTTAAACTTCTGTGTAGAATCTTTTGTAAATTTTTAAATCCACGATCTCATCCCATAGTAATAAAAATACGTGTTCTCTATGACATATGCCATATAAGTCATATATATATGTGTGATATCAAATGTTGTACTAACATGGGTTTAATATAACTATTAAATATGAAGCAAAATTCTAATGACAAGGATATAAACAAGCATTTGAGAATGTTTGAGTGCCATAAATATATGACATTTAAAAGTAAAAATAAAAAAATGATAACGTATGGCGGATGGACTCGAACACCTTGTTGTTCTTTTTTCATAATATGTGTTAAGAATTTTGTTTCTCTTTGTTTTAAAGGCTGAAACCGGTTTTCAAAATATTTTTACAAACTCTTTTAAATACATCTTTTTAAACTACTTAAAAAGACAAATAATTCATCCAATTTTTTTTTATTTATTTTTAATTTAATAATATGTGGGGTGAGAATTTAAATTTCTAATCTTTTGGTCAAAGATGTATCACTTAAGTAATATATATAATTGGTTGAGGAGAAAAAAGTAATATAATTGATTAGACTTTATTATTAAACTAATTCCAAATTTCAGAGTTGGACGTGTATATAGCTACAAATATATAGTACGGTTGACAACTTTTTTTAAGGGTAAAATTTGACATTTACATTTAATTATGCATTTAGTACCTACCTAGGCCTTGTTTTTAAAACTAATATAAAAAATTCAAAATACTTACACAAATAGTCTGTATTTTGAGATACATACTTTTGTATGTTTAAAAAGATTTAGATTTTTGTCCTGTAACGAAACATGGGTTTTTTTTTTCTTTTTTAGTTTAGATTCAGTTTATTGAAAACCAACCGAAAGAAAATATATTTAATTAAAACGAATGTGTGACTCTAAAAAGCACTAAATTGACAAATTTGTTTCCATTATAATAAACTTATAAATCTTTTTCATAAATTGGTCATATACTATAATTTCAATCATTCAACATTTTAAGACGATATCCGCTGAGAAAGTAATTTTGGCATAATATTAGTTTAGAATCATTTATTTAAAAATACAAGATAGTTTTAAAAGATTTTTCTCGACGCCTTCCCACACTTTTATATAAACAATATTAAGCCTCATATCTTTTGTAGTATATTTATCACATACCCTTTTCAATGGAATGGTTATCTTTTCAAATGAAATTATGTGACTATACAATTTTTTTCAAACAACAAAAATCATGTTTAATAAAACGATATCATGATCTTATTTAAAGGAATAGGAAGGGGTTTTTTTAGTATAGAAAATTCTGATATTTGTATTTTAGAAAATCACTAAATATATTAAAAATTGGTGGGTGGGGGGCTGGGGGGCTGCCTTCGCTTGTCTCTATAAGGTGGTCCGCCATGCCATGCAGAGGCCCTCGTGACTACTTTCATTAAATGATATTGTAATAACACTATTTATTATTTCGCTAAATATATAGTTTAGTTTTTGAAATTAAATCATTTTTAGTTTATTTTTTTAATAATTTTTTGTTTTAGTTTTAATGCATCATAATATTTCAATCGAGTGGTTGCTCAATAACATCATTGAAATTAAATAAAAGGATGAAGATGTGACATCTAGAAATATTATTGGTTATGAACTCACAAATTTTCATAATGTGAAAACATATATATCTTACTATTGGATAAAAGAATATAGATAGAGATAGATTAAGTTTTTTAATTGGGTAGGATCGGTTGAATTTTATAACTAAGAAAAATTATTTAAGCACAAATTCATTGAAAAATTTAGGTTCAAATTTCTATTTTATATCTCAACGTTCTAAAAATTTAGGTTAAACTTTTAGTAATTCGTTACATTTTGGTCTTAAAGCTTTCAAAATAACACTTTAATTCTATAACTTAAAAAAAAAAACAACCATTTTGATATTATTATAATTTTATCGTTAATTGCCTAGCAAATGAATAATATGACTTCAAATATAAATCACCGATTCTTAAATCACTGATGAATACAAAAATTAAGCTAATATATAGGTTATGGTAAACTTATCATTTATAGATATCTAAATAGATTAATCTATGCATATCTCAATTAGTTAAAGATGGTAATTTACATATTATTGAACTAAAAAAATTGCTTAAATTATTTAGATTTAAAACGTATACGCATGCTTAGGTATATACAGATCTACCCACATATGCTGATATTTAGCGTCACAAGTTTAATTCAACCAGTTCTATCTTTGTGAATCGGCGTCAGAGACTTTGGATCATATATTTTTCTCCACTGTAAGTACACAGAAAGTATTTGGTATCGTATTTTCAATACTTTCCCGATTTCCCCCGCTCCCTAGCCATATTGATAATTTCATTATGAACAATTTTACAATCGAATGGTTTTACTCACTTGAGTTTCTTTAGTAAACCTAAAATATTATTGATTATGAAATATTGATATATAAAAGGTCTACATCAAACACAAAAAGATTTGAGAAGATGAAAAATTAGGTATATTTTTGAAATTGTTGCAACTATACACCCTCAAATTTATAAAATTATTGCAATTAAACTCAACTGCTAACGCGCAATGTCATTACCTCTATCATGTAGCATATATGACTGGAAAGAAATAATCGCCTCTTCTAGGAGGTCTCTAGTTTAGTGTCTCATCTTTAGGACGATATAAAAATCATCTTTTTCATCTTGATCATCTAAATTGACTTAGTTTAATAATTATGACATTTCCATCATCTTTCTTAATTGGAGTGCCTCCATATAACTTCTTACTCTGGTATGTTTCTCACATATTTTTGAATGAATTATATGTTGTATTCTTCTCGAAAAAAAAAAACTACTAAAACAAAGTAATTAATAAAAACAACCTAAGCATCGCCGATCAACTGATTAAATATATATCAAATATATATCAACAACGAAAAGATAGTGGAATCGAATCTCGGTATATTTAAAATTAAAATTGAAACACAATATTTGTAGTTTTCCAAAAGTTTTGATTGGTTGGTTTGTGTATTTGAGAGTAATTAGAAGAAATTGACATTGAATTTGGTGTGGCCCATTGATATGAAGGGGTTATCGGTGTGCTTGAAACAAGGAAAGGCACCAGAATTAAATTAAATGCTCTCCCATCTCTTTTTAACCCGAATGTGAATGATACCCCTGCCCAAACATCACAACTCCGTTTCCCACTATACAATTATATATATCTTTTCCTTATTTTTAATAATATATAATTTACAGTCACGTTCATTGACTTCTTAATTATAAATTTTAACGAGTGCATAGTATAATAAGATTACGATTTTACAAAAATAGCAATTTTAGATGTCTATCACTATTACTAATGAGCGCATGGAGGAAGAAAGAAATAACGGTCAATTTGAATATTATATATTTATAATTTAATTGAACTTATTTTATAACAAAATTTTGGAAGGTTTCTTAGGTTTGGTTGGTAAGCAAATGGTATGCTTATGTCAGGACTCACGAGTAGAAAAGCACACAAAATATATTGAGTAGGAAACAAGGCCTAATGGAGAGGTTTTAGAATTGTGAAAAATGGCCGACAATGAACGCGATGCTGCTTCTCCCATTCTCCCATCACATGGACCCACAGACCTCCCCTATTTCCCAAGATTTCATGTCGGTACGGGTCCTATGGCCCTATCCACACACACCCAAAAGAAAACTCTAGTCTCTAGTCAATACTCTTCCCACATTCAAAATTTAACCCACTAATCATTAAATATATTATTTATTGTATGGGACCTATATACTACTGATCACCCATCAAAATACTTGCTTACACTACTAAATTTTATGTGAGTTGAGTATTTCTTTTGGCTCAAAACTTTCAGTAAAACCCACTCATCTAATAAACATATGTGTCACATCGGAAATTATCAATATCTTATGTAAAGAGATAAAGTATTATTTTATTTGACCGGTGATTTTTCTTGAGGTATTTGACTTTGACGCCGAGCGTACACGCAAAGTCAAATAGACAAAACTGGGCATTACTGTGGAACAAAGAAAATGAAAAAACAGTAGCATTAATTATTATATAATATTAATGGGTGTGTCGGTTGAATAATGAATGATGAGGGTAAATTTCAAATCTGTGCAAGTCAGGAGAAAAAAAAAGAAAAGAAAAAGAGTACATGTTATGTTGTGGTGAATTCCTTTGCTTTTGTGTATGGGAAAGGGCATACCTTTCCACGTGTCATTCCTGGGCGGAAACTCTATAAATACCACATGTTCACTTTGCAGTGGACATCGTCACTCACATTCCCTCTGCTCTAAAAAAACTCTCTCTCGTCTCCATTTGTCTTCCCTTCAAAAACAGTTAGCTTTGAGAGCCACTGACAAAAAAGAAAAGAAAAGAAAATAAATAAAGATTTGAAGATGGGGCTGTTGTCTAGAAAAGCCACGTGCAACTCTCATGGCCAAGATTCCTCCTACTTCCTGGGCTGGGAGGAATACGAGAAGAATCCCTACGACGAGATTCGAAATCCTGGAGGGATTATTCAGATGGGTCTTGCAGAGAATCAGGTGCCTGGCTATAACATTAATTTCAGCTCCAATTATACATCTACGTACCTGATGGAAGTAATAATGCTAATTAACGGTCCTCGTTTGACTTTCATTTTGGCAGCTATGTTTTGACTTGCTCGAGAAATGGCTGGAGGAGAACCCGGACGCGGCTGGCTTCAAGAGAGACGGCAAGTCAATTTTCAGAGAACTCGCCCTCTTCCAAGACTACAACGGCCTCCCCGCATTCAAAAAGGTACACATCCATTCCATATACACCCTTCTTTAATTTAACTGTATATATTTCATGTAATTAAATTAATAAAGAAATAAATGTTTCAGGCATTGGCAGAATTCATGTCGGAAATCCGAGGGAACAAAGTAAGGTTCGATCCCAACCACATAGTCCTCACTGCCGGCGCCACGTCAGCCAACGAGACTCTTATGTTCTGCTTGGCCGAACCTGACGATGCATTCCTCCTGCCTACCCCATACTATCCAGGGTGAGTCTATCGATATTCATATGATTCCATCACAAAATTAGAGAGGTAGGGTATTAAATAAACAGATATTCTGTTGGACAGATTCGATAGAGATTTGAAATGGAGGACTGGGATCGAGATCGTGCCGATCCACTGCTCGAGCGACAACGGGTTCCGAATCACGGAGGCGGCGCTGTTACAGGCCTACCAAAACGCGCAGGATCGGCATCTGAAGGTGAAAGGCGTGCTCGTAACGAACCCGTCAAATCCGCTGGGGACCACAATCAGCAGGCAAGAATTAAGCCTTTTACTCCGCTTCGTCGCGACAAAAGACCTCCATCTAATCAGCGACGAGATCTACTCGGGCACCGTTTTTGGCTCCCCCGGCTTCGTGAGCGCGATGGAAGTACTGAACCAAAAGTACAAAAACGACGCCCAAGTCCGGAAGCGAGTTCACATAGTTTACAGCCTGTCCAAAGACCTCGGCCTTCCGGGGTTCCGCGTGGGGGCCATTTACTCAAACGACGAAGTAGTGGTGGCCGCCGCGACGAAGATGTCGAGCTTCGGGCTGGTGTCGTCGCAGACGCAGTACCTGCTGTCGGCGATGCTTTCGGACGAGAAGTTCAGGGGGAGTTACATTAGGGAGAATCAGAGGAGGCTGTTGAGAAGGCAGAGGATGCTGGTGAGTGGGCTGGAGAAGGGCGGGATAAAGTGCCACAAAGGGAATGCGGGGCTGTTCTGTTGGGTGGACATGAGGCATTTGTTGGGGGAGCAGACGTTTGAGGCCGAGATGGAGCTGTGGAGGAAGATTGTGTTCGAGGTTGGGCTCAACGTGTCGCCCGGACAGTCGTGCCATTGCTCGGAGCCGGGGTGGTTCCGCGTCTGCTTCGCCAACATGTCGGAAGCCACGCTGGAAGTGGCCATGCGCCGGTTGAAGGACTTCTTCGTCGCCACCAAAACAAACGCCAACGTTAGGAAGTCGGTAGTTAAATGGGTTTTTCGGTTATCGGTTCAGGATCGCACCGGCGAGCCACGTCACCGATAGCCTGGCAATCTGCAAACAAACATTTTACACCCATTTATTTTTACCTCTTCCTGTGTTTTTTTCCCTTTCCTTTCCGGTGAGGGGAGGGATTTGAATTTGTAGTGTTGGTTATTTATTTTTTTTAACAGTGTAAAAATAGTACGTGCACTCGGTCCCCTTGTGGATTAGCAGTGGCGTCTATAATTTTTTACTTTTAGTTTTCATATTAAATCAAAGACACACACATGATTTCACATTCACGCTCTTACCTTCTTCTATTCGGGGTTAATTGCTCTCCTAAGGAAAAAGAATTACAAAAATTACCGTGGTGGTTAAAATTTTTATTTAAGTTAGGCTCCAATTGGTAGTAACTATCTTCTTAAAATGACAAAAAAAATTGAGCTATAGTGCAACTACTATTGAACTTTATTGTTAAAACTCTATAATAGGTAGATGCAATCGCAACAATTTTATAAATTAGAGAATATTATTGCAACTCTCTAAAACTTAAGGCTTAATTGTAACCATTTTTATAATTTATACGTAGTTGCAAATGGATGAAAATATTGTGAAAATCAAAAGTTTGAATGTGCAATTATGTTAACTCCTTATGAAAGAGTACTTTTTGCCTTTTTCCCTCATAAAAGAATATATACATCTTTTTATCTCTACTTGCCTCAGGCAAAAGCGCGAAGTAAAAAAGAGGGAGTAATTACCCTCCCCTCCTCCATTTTATATTAAAAGATCAAATGTGTGTATATATATAAGACTTAGTTTTTATTAACTTTACTTCAGATTTATCTCTCTTTTAAGTTTTTATATAAATAATTTAGGTTTCACACCTAGATCCAAGTTTCAATAATCGGGTCAAATCAAACATTAAATCTAGACAATTGATAAAACTAATAATCTCCCTCAAAATCACGTTAAACCCCAATGAACAAAAACATTCAAAAAATCTAACCGAACAATCCTTGAACTAAATCAAAAAGGCCACATGCAACAACATAATTCAAATCCTAGATTCAATCGGGACGAAATCAAACCTTGAATACAACATTGAGCTCAAGAAAAAAAAAAGGATTATTCTTTAAACATTTGTAAGAATGTAATAAATGGTGACAAGTGTGAACATCAGCTGTGAGTTTGGTGAGAGGGGGCCGGGGCTAGGGTTTCGGCGGTATTAACGGCCAAGTTTTTAAGAATAGGAAAGCGTCGGTGTGTGCGTGTCTTATATGTCAAACGTAAGCAATATAATATGTGTTTTGTTTGGTTGGGTTGCTTCTCAAGTGTCCTCGTGTCGTGTCCCTCATAAAAAATATTGGCATTTTCGCATCCCATTTGCCTTTCAAAGTCCACTTTTTCACCAACTTCGGCTGTGGGGTGGACACACAGACACATCCTCTCGCCCCAGTTGCTTTTTTGACAAGTAACCCCAATAATAACTCGAATCAGAACTTCTATTTTTCCAACTTTATCTAATTCACTCTTCCCAATTTCAGATTTTGCGTGTGTTTTCTAACCGATTTCGCAGTGCCCCATATTTCTTGATCACACCACTGTTAGAGGAAAGAAATATGACCCAGATGTATGGTTGTTGTGGCAGAAGTTTTGCTAATAATAGCTAATTTCATTATTGACTTTTTGCACACAACATCAAATATTGATTGATGCTGGCTCTTTCTTTAGCTACCCTAGTACGAACTGGATAAGATGAGAAAAGTAAATTGGAGGACTTTATATGGGAGAAGATTGATACAGATGTTGGATTTGCTGTGGTGTGTATATAATTAATATATCAAACTTAATTAATACTTTTTGTAGTCTGTTTATGCAAGGATATGTATTTCATATTGCAGCTGGAACTCGGCCTCCGGACCGATCTGAATACTTGGGCGGACCTGCACAAAAAGGTGAGCACTCCGACGATCAAGTCAGTATAGGTCGGATTCCCAGTTTAGTTTGAGGTCAGAAATCATC